ACCTGACTAGATGCGTGACTATTAATAATCCCGACTACGTACGTATCTGCGCTGGATATCACCGGCACGCCACACGCCTTGTAGGCGGAGCCTGTATGTCCGTTATAGCCGAACAAAACTACAGCTAAAAGCGGCCCTGGGGACCAAATTGTTTGTCCGTTATAAGCGAAATTCCGTTATATGCGAGTCCGCTATATCTGATGCTTTTTCTGCATGTTCTTAAAGCCGTACGGCCAGGACCAGTGGACCTCGTCCATTATAGACGATATTCCATTATAAGCCAGTCCACTATAATGGGATTTTACTGTACTATTTTTCATAAGGCTTGCAGACACTACAATGAGATTAATATACGGCAACATAACGATGTAAACACACTAAAGGATGATAGCAAACTGCATCTAATGGGTTCCCTTGCTGGCTGCCCACAGCTAAGTGAATTATTTATCCTGAAAGCCATTCCTCTTCAGGATATCCTGTGTGAGGACCAATCAGTGGACAATCATGTGACCCATCAAGGCACTGGTGCTTTCTGCCCTACAGAGAGGAAGAGCACTGCTCACCTGTTGAACCTCTGTACCTCGGACGCCCCGAACAGCTTCCCCTGGCGCTGCTGGGCCAGGCCCTTGAGGCGCTGCCAGGCCACGTTGACCTCCTCCCTCTTCCGCGCGATCAGCTCCATCTCCGGGTGGCTCTCCTGCTCCAGCTTCGCCGCCAGCCCGTTCACCTCGTTCACCCGCTCCTCATGGGCCGCCAGGTCCGCCTGGAACTCCTCAAACTTCTTCTGCAGCACCTCCACATGCTCCAGGTCCTGACCCAGTTCCTCAGACGTCACAATGGCCTCCTGTGGGTAGGATGTAGGTGCAGTCAGACCATAATAAATAAAGTGGTTCGACTGCACATATCCAAGATTTATCTGTGACTGTGAGAATCCTCTTCTGTCAGTAAGAACTATGTATCATATGGTTCCACCACATTAGACCAGGAAATTTTTGTTTATTATGGGACAGGGTTGACATTGAACATCATACCCAAGCAAAAATAAAGTGTTTCAGGTATAAACATCTAACCCACAAAACTCCCCCCCACCCAAACAGATGATACACTGGTAAATATTTTTAGAGTGAGAGGTGAGGGAACCAGTCTAATGGCCACCTAATTCTTCCTGTGACAGCCACCAGCCTTAACACACCCCCTCCTAAGGTTACTTGGTACACAGCCCAGATGCACAGCCTAGTTAGCAGTGCAACCAGCCCTGGCCGGCCTGTTGCCCCCAGGCTGCGGCCCGCCTGACGGTCATGCTCACTTTGTCGCTGATCCAGCTCAGCGTCTCGTCGCAGTCGCGCAGGTACTGCAGCAGCTTCTGCGCCTGCATCAGTCGCTCGCCCTTCTCCCGGGTCTTCAGAAGCAGCAGCTCCCACAGCCGGTGCAGCTCCTCCAGGCGGGTCTGTGGGCGGGGCATGGTCGTGAGGCGAGGATACAGCGAAGAGGGGCAGGCTGAAGGGGCGGGGCTTAGGAGGGAGTAGAGGCGGGGCACAAGGAAAGGGACAAGGTGCCGGAAAGATCCAGGGCAACACCACTGGTTAGAAGGAATTCAGACGGAGAAGAGAAACTAAATACAACAAAAAGATCAGTTTCATACTGTAAATCACATCTGTATTTAAAACAGAATCATTGAATCCGTAGATCCTATAACTAACCAATCAAACTGTCCTAGATTATATTGTCACAGACTAGAAGCTTCCAAAAAGCTGTAAAAGATTAATAGCATGCAATCAGAGCAGGCTGACCATTTGTCAAATGAGAAGAGAGCAAACAAAGATCTGTGAAGAACACAGGAGAGATCCCACGTCAGGACAGATCCAGGATGTTCACAGCAACCAGGGCACCTACTTGTATGTAATGACCGACATTGACACTTTTTACTATGGGCCGCTGGGCTGTCCGGTAGGGCGTAAAGGACTGAACCAAACAGAAGGTGGTGGGGTCAAATCTTTTGCTTTTACACTTAAGTTTACTTTATCATCATCATCATAGACCTTAGCTCATCTAGCTGTGCTGTTTCCCAAAGTTAGACATCTGGCTACATTACAGGAACCTACTGGGATCCAGGAGAGCTGAAGGCTTTTCATAATAAATTTATATTTAAAGTTGATTTATCTCCGAAATACGAGGTGAAGCGGTTAGCTTCCCAAATATAATTACTTTCAAAAAGTAATCCAGAGCTGGCTTTGTGTGAAAACCAGCACAAATGCGGCTCACAAATCAGAGTTGCCCAGTCTGGAACTAAGTGATGTATGGATATGTGATGAGAACTGTAATCAATATGGTATGAGAGATGGGCTAAGTGGCTGTACTCAATGAACAGGATTATATGGTCGGACATATCAGCAGCACATCAACTGAAAGTCGGAGGAATAAGCACAAGGCTTTCAGATGCATGCAGTCTGAGATCCCCGGTCCAGAGAATGGTCCGTGCTTCATGGTGCGTTTATGTTAGTGTGACAGGCTTTGAGGAGGGGGCTTACGCGGATGGTCTCAGAGGCAAAGTGGCCCTCGGCAATCATCTGGTTGCCCATCTCATCCAGCCTGACAATGGCACCCGAGTTGGCCTGCACCTCTGCCTCGAAGGCCTGGTGCTTCTGTAGTTTCCCCTGTAGGAGACAGACAAATATTCTAAAAACTCATTTGTTTTTTTTGTTTAAAACGCAACAACTTTAGTATTTAAATTCTTAAAACCCCCCAAAACCAACAAATGGTATGACCCTGTCTTCCTCCGCCCACCTGCAGGTTGGTAGGGTCCTTGTAGTTCTCATCGGAGGCGACCTGCAGCTTCTCCTGGATCCACTTCTCCAGCTCGTCGGCATCGCGCCGGAAGCACTGGAAGTGGTAGGAGTCCTCCAGCTTCTGGCGGCGAACCACCGACAGCTCCCTGAAGCGCTGGTACCGGTCCAGAACCTGTTGCCGGCGCTCCTGGATGTCGTCGGCTGTCTCCAGCACCTTGACCCCACCGGTGTCCATTTTCTGGTCATGTATGAAGGAGTGGTGAGAGAGAAGATTAAAAACACCAAACGTCACTAAAATAACCCTCTACAACAGAGAACTGAAAAGACTGTAGCCCTCCAACTTCCATGACTGCTCACCCAGAACAACACGATATTAAAGAAACATTTCATTTTTTAAATATAACTTCAAAAACATTTCGTAAAGAGGTATTAAGAAATTTCAAGACAGGGTTCATTCAATCAACAGCAGAATTAATCATGAATAACAGAACGCTCATTCCATAGCTAATCCAGAACATAAAGGACAACTCCCCGAACCAGGTCTGACCACCGGTATATTAAAGCCGACAGCTCAATTAAACTACACAGCTTTTAGATAACATCACCTTTTTTAGAAATGTAAATGGGTCACATTCAACAAAGAAAAAAGGACTAACTTTAAACAAATGGCACAGCCCTATTCTACTTTGAGTACATTGAGAACACCCCCCGATACAGACAGCCAAGTTCATGATACACCATGGGGGAGCGGCTGAAACGGAAAATCCCCACAGCTCCCATGAGCGGTTGCCAGGCACTGGGCACAATGACCCCAGCCATTCAGCCTGCCCCCCCACCCCCAGGCCAGGCTCCACATGGCAGCCCATTGCTGTCACCCCAGCCCAGCCCCAGCAGCCACTGCCCACGTGACACCAAGGCAATATGACAAGTGGCTGAGGATTTTGGCACCTCAAGCGAACTCCTAGTGGAAGCACCAGGGTGTAGCGTTACACCTAGCAAATGGGGCTCCAGGATCCACCAGGGGCGGGATTACTCTGCCCTGCCAATCACTGTCTTTTCTAAATCCATACACCCAATAGGGTACCCCGGCACAAGATAATCCCACCCACAGTTGTTAGCCACAGCTAGTGGCTAACAAGTGTCCCTGTTTTAAAGGGGAATAAATCAAATGGGGGGGGGGGTTAGCTAGGAAACAGAAATAGTATGAGGGTAATAAGACCGCTCTCTTGGCTTGCCGAAGTCTTCAGGCCATTTCAGCAGTCATGCTGAACCTCCTAATCAAGTAAAACGATTTCGTGGGAAACAAATTAGCAATAGCGACTGCCTTACTGTCTAAATAGCGCTGCCCTACAGAGACACAACACAGGAACTACGCCTCAGTTTTATTCTGTAGTGTATTCTGCAGTTACTGTAATTTTCACTCTGTCTTCGGCAAAAAACGGGCATGGTTCAACGACGATATTTTCCCACAAGATAAAACAACCTAAGAGACCTGATTGGGTCATAACTCACTTTTGACAAAAATTGCTGTTCCGGTGCTTTCCATTTGTGGGGCGGAGCTGCCGCCCAAGCAGGTGCCCTGTGCGTCAGAGTGAACACGCGTGCGTGGCCCCCATTTTCAGGGCATGAAGCGAGGGATGAAAAGCGCGAGAATAAAGGGCAAAGCGGCTGTTTGGCAGCGAAAGAAATGGTGAATGCAGCTTACTGACAGCAGGGCCGGGGGAAATAAAGCAGCCCTTTGTCTGGGGGCCTTTCAGCCCCCCCCTCCAAACTCGGATGGATATCAGCTGATACAGCAGCAGCATTCCACTGCCCCCCCCCGCTCCATCCCATTCTGGGCACAGCATGGCATGCCATCCAAAAGAGGGACAACACCCGCAGAGAGCAGGCGGGTGTGTCGTCTGCAGGGGGTTGAGATCCAACACCCACTGCATCCAGCGCAGTGACCTCCTGTTTCCACATAAACACAAGGAGCAACATGCAAACTCTGCACCAAGCAGGGATTCCAACCCACTACTGCTCGTCTGTTTTTTTCTTTGACGCAAATAAAAATAAAAATATCTCAGCCTTTTCCCTGAGACACTAAACAAGAGCTCAGAGCTCATTGGCCAATTCATGCGTGCAGGGCAGGGAGTGACTAAACACCTAGTCTGGACGCAGAACCGGCCTGAAATCAGCCAAGGAGTCCAGCCGGCCTCCCCCTCCAGGAAACGGAAGCGTAGGGCAGTGTTTCTCAAACCAGTCCTCGGGGGGGGGGGGGGGGGGGGCAAAAAGACGGACCATCTGGGGCTCCCCATAGACCAGGGTGGGAAATGCCGGCCTACGGGCCACACTGGGTTCACACCGAAAGGCCTTGGCTCTGGGAAAAGCACGCAGCAGAGCTCAGGAGCAAAAGCTGATATCCAAGGCACTCCATATAAACGCACGAGCGAAAACGAAGGAGGTGCACAGCGATGGCAGGGCCTGAGATAACGATATTATTAGTCAGTAGAGGGTCAGTCACTTTAGCTGATCTTGGAAAATTATCAGCAATGGATAAAAATGGAAAAAAGAACAAATACTACATTTTAAAGTTTGTGTGGGTGTCATCATCACACTGAGCTCCTGATAAGGCCCAGCCCAGCCCAGCGCTGCATGCGGGAGATAAGAGGGGGGCAGCCAGCCTCCGACACACACTCACGTCTGCATTCCACTCGCTCAGCAGGCTGCACTTCACAGCACTAATGTAATAGCCCGAATTCTATATACACAGCGCTCACAGAAAGTCTTGGGACACTTGCATAATTCAGCAAAAATGCTGCAAATTTATTGTTTCATAACAAAAGTCTTAATAAAAAATGTCTAAAATATCAGCCCATATCTTCCGCAATTTTCTTTCTATTAAGTCTTTTTTTTTTATTAATTCTTTCATTTCTGTTAATTGCAATTGTGGTTATTGGTTCCCAAAGGGACACTAAACACAGATGTTTGGTGTATTATGTTATTGCGAAGGTGTTACTAATTAAACAGCACCCAATGAGACTACTTGTCAAAAGAACTTTTTAAACTCCGAACAGCTCTTTTAAAAATTTTACACAATTTATTACTACTGGAAATGATTTCTAATTTAATATATTTCTCATAAGCAAATAATGTAATAATTTTTGTTATAAAACCAATAAATTTGCAATTCTTTTGCTGAATTAAGCAGGCGTCCCAAGACTTTCTATGAGCACTGTATATACTACATATGATTGCAATTAGTGTTGAAAGAGAAGTCTTAAAACTAAACTGTTAACATTTTTTTAGCGGATTTTCAATATTAGTCCATGCAGACTTCAGAAGGGGCATACACCCTCTCTCTCTCACACACACACGCACACACACACACACACACACACACACACACACACTCACACTGCTGCGGGGCTGAACTTCCCACAGCCCCCGGCTCCCAGGCAGCCCTGAATTCGATATGGACTGGCCATACTGCACCCCGCCCTCCCGATTAAGGCATTGCTGAGCCATCCAGCCACACAACACAGGCCCCCACAACGAAGCAGCTCACTCAATGCTCTTGCGGTTCAACACGGGGGCCTTCTGCCATGGCTCAGCCAAAGCCTAAAGGCTCGGACCCTCACCCTCCTGTAGCACCGCATTGACCCCCCGCCCCCACTCCTCCGTTGGGAATTCCGAAGCATTCCAACAAGGGCTTCTAGAAGAAGCTACCACTGAGTCGACCAGCCAGGGACTAGAGAAGGGAGTTCTCCTCCCAGTGTTGGGGCTGTGCTCATCTCTAAAGTTTTGGGTCTTTTACACTGATATTATTCTCCATAATGGATTTGCATGTTAATGCTAATGATTAATGCCAATAGCACAATCGATTCAAGCAGAGCAAATGAACAACATTGTTACTGCCATAGCTTATTTGCCACTTTACCTTCAGCGCTGATGTGCGCTTGTACATGGACATGCATGATGTGTAAGGGAAGAAAGCATAAAATATATGCAAAGAAGAGATCAAGTATGAACGGCTGATTTCCAGGGTGCAAAAGGCACGGTTCTGTGGATAGCCCAGTGCGGGGCCCCATAATCGGAACAACACTCTTCCTTTGGGGGGGGGGAGGGGGTTGGCGTGCGACTCAGGATAGGATGCTGTTTCCAGAACAGGACTGCGTGGGAGGGAAGTGGATGAGGTCATACAATGATTTCCCAGGAATCCATTCTTCTCACAGACCATAGTGCATCAGGAGTTCTTGCCAGGAATCAGTGGTTAAGGGGGGCATCTTCATCCCCACAGCAGTTAGCCGCTTCCAGAAATGCACTTAAGATGACGAAGGAGACCCACCCAGCTAGGCGGATGGGGGACAGCTGGCTGCTAACGCATGCATGCATATGAAACATCCACCACCACGAAACACACAGCACAAACACAAAAGCGAACCAAAACACTTTTAGCTTTGCCCAGTTTCACAGGAAATCAAAATATTGGCCGCTGGCAAATTACTTACTAAAGCAGCTCATTAGATGAATTGTTATAATAGGAGTTAGAGCCAAAAGTAAACTAGCCAAAAGCCGAAAAATTTCGTTTAATTGTTTTCCCTAAATTACCAGGCACTAAAATGTTTTTGATAATTTAAACAAGCACATCATCATGCAGAAACAAAACAGTCATGCAGAAATGACTTCATTCAATAAAAAACCATTTTATTCCAGCAGTTTGTACTGAAATAAAATGAATGTGCCCATCATCATCATCATCATCATCATCAACACAGAGGGTGTTTCTCAATACCAAGAACACAAAGATCATACTTGTGGTCTTGGCAAGAGCGGTCTTGCCAATTTGCCTCCCAAGAATGAACTTGGGAAGCAATGAATCATGGGATTGTTCTCGTTTGGCAAGGATGCAATCGATGCATCCTTGATATCCGGGGCGAGGCAAGAGCAACATTTGGGGATTTTAACCGTACTTTTGTTTTTAGTATTGGAACGGGTCTTCGGCATTGACGTAAATCGGGCACTCCAGAACACAAGTACAGTCAAGTATGCATACTGAGAAACACCCAGAGGAGTTCTTCACCACACACACATACACACACACACACACACACCAGGGTTCCATAGTAAATAGGGTCTCAGGATCAGATTCATATCTTCCATTACCTGTTACTATGTACCAGGGTCACCACACCAAGAGATGCGAAAGGAGAAATAACCAGAGCTTGTACTGGAAACTCCAAAAAAAGGGAGGAAAACCACATGGCAAAACACAAAACAGGAGGACTGAGGCTCAAACAGCCTTCGCCACAGGAGGGCGGCAACAGTGCCTGTGCAACCAAGGACACCAGGACAGCGACCACCCCTCCTCCCAGACAAGTGGTTCCTTCCTGTTCCCAGAGTTCCAGGAGGTTCACAACCTCACATTCCTCAGCCCACACCCAAAATGCATACCCTACATACACACACACAAAAATAAAGCTCTGTACCTTCAATTTGGGTTTAATGAATTTGGACATGATGACAGGTATTGGCGCTAGATGAAGGATACAAAGTTAAGTTACATTACGAGAGGCAAACAACACAGAAGAACATGTGTATCATGACTCAAAACAGGACCATTAGGGGCATTGAACAAGGCATTAACAAAGGCACTGCCATTAAATAAAGATGCAGCATGAGATGAAACCTAAAACCTTTCATCGCCTACATTAACCCTTCCGGAAGTCAACCATCGTCAATCGCTTTAAAAGCCTGATAGTGCTTCCACTGCAACACGGAGAGGCACGGCGGAGTGCAGGAACGGAGAAACCTGACGCTGCTTTGCTGAGAGCTTCGTAGAGACACGGAGGACGCGGTACGGCCCTCCTTAAGAAGGGGAAGGGGATACATGTCAGGGTTCCAGCAGAGTGAAGGCAACACCGCTCCTTCCCTATTGTGGCAACCGCACCGTCCCCACGGAGCCCTCGTGTGTCACCAAGCAACGCATCATTATCTACGAGAATCTGATTACCAGAACGGTAGACTGATCAGCCATAATGAAGCAGGTGAATTTCCCTCCCTCAGAAGTTCAGACGTGTAAAATACAACAGACACTGGCCTGGAGTCTGAAGAAATTAACAGAAAAAGAGAAAGACAACTGCAACGTGCTGGCGGGAAGCAGCCTTCTCACAGAGACGAGCAGCTTAATCGAGATTGTTTAAACACCCCTACGAGTTTGCGACACCGGGTCCCGCACAGCATCTCTGGAGAGAAAACTTTGAAGCGGAGATCCAGAAATTCAGAGCCAAAAACAGCGCCCCGGTCTTGGGAGGAATGGTATTTGCATCAGCAACCCCTGAAAACTGAAGAAGCAGGTCGCTTCAGCGCTACAGGAAGGGGGGGCCACACCCATCATGGCCCCCTATCACAGAGAAACCAAACACTCCCTCAACCATGAAACCAGACAGAGGGGTGAAAAACAAGAGCACTATCATTCACTAAACCCAACATGGGCAAAAGGTCACCATACTAAATAGGCGTTAGCTAGCAAGCCACGGTTTGGGGCCGCCTTATTGTATGCAGAGTCCCTGCAGCAGTAGGAAACAGCAAAGCAGAAATGCTCCCTGGATTATATTTGATTAGGAAGCGGATGGGGAAAGGCTTGTTAGGGTGAGAAGGGAACACCATCTCCATGTGCAAGGCAGCAACTATAGGATTGAGAATGCTGCCTCAGTACAGCTGATAAACCGTCAAGGACTTCAGAGAGTCACACCTGCTCAGTGACGAAACGGTCTTTAGAAAGTCATCCAAACAAAGAAAGCAAACAGGGAATTCTTGCGTGCCTGTGTATGGGGGGTGGGGGGGGTGATTTTACATTGGTGCAGCTGTTATACGAGGGGTGTGAGGAACACAGCGGGGAGGAAACCGTACAACAAATGGAGGACAGATGGGAATATCAAACCCAAAAGCCCATCCTTTCGAACCGTCCATAGTGCCATAACATCACTTCAGCGCAGAAACATCTGGTGACATCATGTACCTCGCTGGCCCTATGTTTTTTAAAGGCACGGAGACAAAAAAAAAAAAACCCTTGAGCAATGATGGGTGGGGGTACAGGAGGAGTAAATGCAGAACAGAATACATCGGTACTGATCACAGCGCATACGGAAACATTTATTGAAGACTTAAAAAAGGCGCTGGTTACTGCTTTCCTTCGGATTCATGACAGGGTCTTACTTTACTACATACTTGTCCTAACCTTTCATTCTGGTTGCTTTGGCTTCACCGGGACGTCACCTATGAACTGTAGCGGTCACACAAACTTTTTTAAACAGAACCACTACAGATAACAGTAATCAATAGGTTTTCTAACATAATCACTTAGCAAACTGCGACTAATGACCACTGCGATTTTTGTTTAAGCAGAAAAACGATCGGGGCACTGAAAAGATCCTAAAAATCGCAAATAAATTCCGTATCCGTTCCTAACTACGGTTGGGCGGATCCTCTAACTGTCGTGAAAAGAGACATGGTATTATCATACAATCTTGTCACAAATACATGCCACTAAACCAGGGAGGACTGTTATATAACCTGCTGAAATTTTTAGTTAAGAGACTGTGTTACAGCAGGAACACATTATCGGTCTTATACCAGTTTTCCGCTTCTTCTTAAATACTTAATGAATCGTAACGGTACAGAAGATCCCGATATGATCTCAGATCCCTAGTCTGATGTTATTTCTTTGTCCGACGACAGCAAGTGAAACCGTATTTATAACAGGAAGATAAATGAAAGTAATTTTGCTAAAAACGTGTCGCACAGCCGCCAGCTCGCTGCTAGATAGGAAGCAAGGGGCAGTGGAGAGCAGAAAAAAAGTTAAACTTGCTTTTGCGTTATTACGTTCATTTTTTATTTCTATTGAGGAATACTACATTTTTCTGGATTCTGTGACAAAAAATGTTTAATATTGAGCACTAAGTACTACATACATCCCTGAAACACGTATACAAGTTAAATAAATAATAAACAAGAAAATATTTTTCGTCTCCTCTCCGTAAAACATGCACTTTCCAGACCTGAAGATTTCGTTGAAACGTGCAAGAAATACTTCTTACCTTCTCTTCAAAGTTTGTGTTAATTTTGCCTGTACGAAAAGGAACGACACGCCACCGAATGGAGCCGCTGTGTCAAGCGGACCTCTATAATACCCGGCGGCGCGGTGACATCACGACCGAAGCAACCCGAAAGAGGCCGAAGTCTAACGGGAAGCAACGAAGTTAAGCGATCGTTCATGGCAGTGGCTCTGAAATTGAGGGGCGCGGGCCCCGTGGGGTCTCCCTAGTGTTGGAGAGGGGAGGCTACATGATTTTCTGAATATGCCTAAAAAGTTTTATTTTTTTCCGTGCCCCCCACTACCAATTTTATGGATAGCAACCCGTTGGCAAATGTTATGATCGGGGACCACCCGCACCCCCGTTCTGCGAGTTTAATCGCGTGGCTGCCAGCTCTCACGTATCTGGCTCTGACTCACTCTTTAAGACTCTCACGCTCACGCACGAATTCTTACGACAAATCTATATTATTTCATTACAAACCTAAAGCTAACTACATCAATATTGTTGGGGTAGTTTGCAAACCCTACAGACTATTTAGAAGGTAATAAAACTGTCACATACATATGTAAGGAGTGCGCAGACTTGAGTCGAAAAAATCTCACGGCAACCAGCTGAAAATCTTATGCAAGCTAGATGACCAAAGTTGCCAGCAAAGGAGGTAGCAAGACTTCGCCAATGGGTTTTGGGAGGGTCTCCAGACAGAAGGTCTGAGAACCACTGGCTTATGTTGCTGCTTACCCCTCTACGGATGATTTAAAACACCAAATATCCCACCATACCTGCAGTGTTACAGTTAAAACTATTTACAATTTTCAAGTTGCCCTTGGCTATCCGGTGTGTGCACGTAGTTGCCCTGCAGAGGACTGGCATTTCAGTGCCCTGTGCAGCCTTGGGTAAGTTCCACGACCCCACCATTCTGACCAGGATAAAGGGATGGAAGATGGGTGGACGTGTAAAATTCTTAAATCCATGGAATGCCTGTCAGGAATCCCTTTTGAATTTTTAATAAGAGTACTTGAGCTGTTCATCAATATTTATATATTGTACCAGTCATAAGTCTGGACACACTTACTGAAAATCACTTGTTTTTCAAAGAAGATATCGACCCTAAAGCATACCTTTAGGTTATGTAATTGCTGTATTATGTGAACAAGGAATAAGATGGACTGCTGTGATAGATGACTTGGACCCCACAATCCCCTGACATAAACTGTATAGAGCTGCTCTGGGGTGAGTCAGATCAAAGAGTAGGAGCAAGGTAGCCAGCTTGTACCCAGAACTTATGGAAACTCCTTCAGGACCATTCCAGAAGCACACCAGATGGCTACATCTGGAAGCTAGTTGAAAGAATGCCAATATCTGCAAAGCTACCATTGAAACAAAAGAGGACTGTTCTGAAGAGTTTAAAATCTGAGATAATTTTGAAGTGTTGAACACTCTCAATCATTTTAATATTTGTTTTGTAGGCCCTATTACTTCATTGCCTTGTACTATAAGGTGAATAACATAGCTAGAACAGAGATAAATAAATTAAAAGCAGGTGTGTCCAGACTCTTAACTGGTATTGTATTTGACATTTAATAAGTAGCTTAATGAGATGTTTACAAGGTGGTGGCCTAAAAAGACAACTTGGTTTGTGCCAAATTTTTGTTGTTTTTTCCCTATGTTTCTTATATAATATTTCACTCAGTTAAAGAATTAAATGGTTCAAAATATTAGAAACTTGTATCTTTAAAACTGAAAAAGTGGCAGGGCTATTTAAAATGGAGCCCTTGGCTAAGAGCACTTCAATCTGATTGACTTCAGTGTGTTCAGCATTTGCCAGCTGATTGCTGGGTGTCTAACGGTCACCCAGGGCTTTTTACACCATCTCCGGCACTCAGGGTCGGGAAGACGCAGGCCGTGCTCTCTGCCAGAGTCCTGCAAATGGTGCCCCATCCCAGAGCATTTGCCTCCTTGCATCAACAATTTATGAGGCTATAAAAGCTGCAGGAAATAAACCAGCAAGCAAATGTAGAACCGAGGGACGATTCACGTTTTGTCCCATTTAAGAGTAAACAGACTGAAGAAATCACCATTTACAATAAGCAGAATGTGTGAGTAAAACTTTACTTTTGAAAATCCAAAAATGTACAGGACTACATAAAAGCTTTATGTGTCCTTTCGTATTATTAGGCTGACTTTGCTCTAAATTAAGGGCAAATATTTGTCTAGGTTCTCTACTGGCATCTCTAACTGCCCTTGGTGTGCACTGGAATTCCATCCAGGAAGTCCCCCAGCTGGGGGCCTGGTGCAGCATGGGAAAGGTTCCAGGCCCCCGTGAGCCTGACTTGGATCGGTAGCTGGAAGAGTGATGGTGCAGTGATCCAAAATGAGGGCGCAAGCCTGACCTAAGAGAGGTTTAGCATTTCATAGTGTACGTATAACACTGGGCAGAATGGATTTTATCAAAATATGACATTTAAATATGACATTTAAATGTACGCATCACATTAAGTGACAAATTTAGTCTCAAATACTAAAGGCACTGTCTTTGGACAACGAACAATACATGCACCCTAAATGCACATATAAATTTGTGTCTAGCTGACTTAATTTCCCTTCATTATATAATTAAGCTGCTCTAAGTAGCCTAAACAATTAACCTCCAGATGCAAGTTTCCACTTATTCATTTGCCTTTTTCACTTAACCCTGTTAATAACGCAAAGCAACACAAATTATCTTGGTATAGATCATTTTGGGAAACAAGAACAACAAAATACAGTTCTCAGCATTTCAATAAAAATGCAATTTATATAAAATATTTAGATAGAAAAAAATATTCTTACTTAAATTACGTTTAAGTTATACAGGAGAATTTTGTCAACAGTTGTTTGGTCCAACAGTACAGACACTTTGTAAAATGAACAAACAGATAATCCTGAAAAACTGTACATGATAAAAATTCAAGGTCACTGGTATAGATCACAAGCCATCCTGAACATTTGCAGCCAACGTAAAAGATAAAAATCCTCAATGTCAAACAATTTCAAGACAGTATGAACGGCAGGTAGTTCCAAAGAGACTCCTTTGTCATGGAACATTACTGCAGTACAGTCTAGCCGGGAAGTTCCCTGGAAATTCATGTTTCGCAGCTCGCCCGGATATCGAGCACCAAAGAAGCACAGTTTTTATGAGGATGGCCTGAGATGTAGACCTTGTGACAATGCAATACCCTGTATGTTTACTACAACATCACTGTCCTTACTGAATCATTTAAATGTCTTTTCAAAATCATACTGAGAAGTAAACAAGGACAAGATGAAACGTTAACACTGAAATAACAAATTATGATATAATGACAGAAATTCAAATAAGGAAATAAAGATAGATATTGTAAAAACCACAAAATAAAAGGTGGAACTAGGGACCCTATTTTGGGGTTCAGTGAAGACGTTGTGTTAGTGTTCACTGAGACATGGCTATGTCATTAAGCTCCATTTCAAGAACTTAAAATCACTCAATGTGACTGGAGGATGACAGAAGGACAGGGACTGGGCCATCATCAGGACTGGGCCATCATCAGGACTGGGCCATCATCAGGACTGGGCCACTCAGAGAGGGGAGGGACCACGGGCAGCAGAGCTTGCGAATGCAGAGTCCCCAAAAACGCTGGCATAGGAGGTCTTGAGGAACTGCACATAGTTCTGCAGGCTGCGATTGGTGCTGTCCGACTGCTCCAGACGGTCCCGTACATCCTGTAGCCGGCTTTGAAAGCGGCGCTCTGCCTGGGTTCCGGGGAAGAGAGGTGTGGCTGTAATCAACGAGTAGCAGGGAACATCTCCGGATTTTCCCCAAGATCAACATGTCCCTGGGTCAACTTCTCATTAACCAATCACAGTCTTCATTGTATGACATCACCACATTGATTAAAACCAGGTGTTTTCCGTTAAGCAGCAAGGTGCACAGTTTTGCAGAGTTTGTTTTATTGTGTCTACCATTTGTTAAGGGATAGAAAACACAGCAGTATGCTTACCTGCAAAGGCTGTACAAACCAATGCCAGGGCGGGTCCTTGTTTTACGATGATAAGAATAACAACAGCAGCAAGCTAGGGGATGAGGACCCTCGGACATATGATTTTCCCCTGAGGCTGGGCGTGAACCGACAACATTCCTATCGCAGACACAGAGGCTTAACCCACTGAGCCATAACCATGATGGCAGGAAGCCTTGAGCTTGCATGAGAAAAAAAAAATGGACCAATGTGGCGACATCATACAATGAAGACTGTGATTGGTTAAAGAATGCAAGCCCCTCCCTTGTTGTCCTTATGTAGCAGGGATGGGACTGGCTCTTCTAGTCAGATCTGATCTGATTGGTTTCTCTTCCATATGTGGTGCACACACTCTCACTCGCACACACACACACACACACACACACACACACACACACACGTAGGGTAAACATATCGTTATGGGGACCACTCATTCATTTCAATGGGAAAAATGCTAAGGCTAACTATAACAACCTTAACCCCTACCCTGCCCTAACCATAACCATAAGTAACCAAACAAAATACAAGAGTTTTTGCTTTTTTAGTTTTTTCATAGCAGTCACCGATTTTTATAAAATAGAGTTTTCCCTTATGGGGACCGGTTTCCTGGAAACCGGTCCCCATAAGGGAAAAAAATGGATATTTAACACATTATGGGGACATTATGTCCCCATAAGGATAGGTAAACCCGCTCACACACACACACACACACACACACACGTCCTCTTTGGCCCGCCTCAGCTGCTCCAGCTCGGTCTTGGTGCGGCTCAGCTGAGTCTCCAGCTCCAGCAGCTTGGCTTGGGTGGAGCGTTCCTTGGAGGCTGCACGCTCACGGCTGTGGCCGACCTGCAGACATCGATGGACCTGAGCCATCCCTCTGGAGCCTTAACTGTACCCCTCGCATTCAGAGAAATGGGTGGAGCTAAGCTCATTCTGAACCCTAAATCCCACCCCCTCCGCAAAACTCACCCAACCAATACCACTAATGAAAATTATAATCCATGTTCAATATTTCACACAAACATTTTTTGCTTTGTCTTCTATAGGCACTGCATTAAAATGGCAACTTCCATGTTAATGAGCAGAGATGGTCCTATATTTTTTCTGGTCCGATCCCAATACGATATTAAAATCGAGTATCTTCCGATAGTAAAGGAGAAAAAAAGTCTGATCGCTATCTACTAATCATTAAATGAGATATTTGTATCCATGCCTGTCAATCCACATGGTGAACTTTCTGCATTTAGCGTTTTGGCTGTATTGTTTAAGGATGCTAAGAACAGGGAAATATAACGGTCATGTTGCTCAAACAAAGGCTGTGGCACTGCGCTACAGGAAGACATCCATGGCCAACATGACATCCAGTGGAGCTCAGAAAAAACTTTTAAGCAGTAAACTAAACTTTAGAAAGAATACAATTTAATCTGTATATTTTTACTGTTCAGACTAGCCTTACATGCAGTGCACTGCATTCTGCAGTTTTGCTTTTTGTAGGGCTGCACAGGCACCATCTGTAACCGTCCTGCGCAAACCCCTGCAGACGGAACATGCAGTGCACTGCATTCTGCAGTTTTGCTTTTTGTAGGGCTGCACAGGCACCATCTGTAACCGTCCTGCGCAAACCCCTGCAGACGGAACTTATGTCACTCAGCCTGTGCATGACCCAAAAGCACATGCGGGACGGTGAAGTATGAACGGACCTTTACTGTATTTACACACAGCCTTCATGACAGCCTTCATGCACTGCTGAACAGCTCGCCGTCACGGGACCCACGCTTTTGTTCACGGTATGAACAGCATTTTTGGCCGGTATTGGCCCGATATCGATAGTGGGTATCGGTTTGGTGTCACCTCTATTAATTAGGTTAGCAGGAAATCTTCAGAACCCATATATAGAGCATTAATATATTCATTTTCACAGCTGGATTTACTTTTCACAGCATACTGAATCCCACCAGAACCCCGGACTGCAATAAGTGAGGTTCTGCTGGATGAGTCAGGCGACGACTTCCCCCAGAGGTGCTTCCCTTCTCCTCCTCCTCCTCCTCATCCCCCCATGATTTCTGGCACACGGACCTGGCGCCTCGCGTCCTCCAGGGCCTCCTCCAGCTGCCGGGCCAGCAGGCTGCACTCCCGCGACTTCTCCTCCAGCCTCAGCTGGTTGCTGTGGATGGTCTCCTCCCGCTTGGCGATCACCTGCAACAGGTCGCGATTCTGCCCGCCGACCTCATCCAGCTTCCTGCCATGGAGGAGATCAAGGGAAGGATGGAGGGACCCAGAGAGAGACAGATACTGTGATGTCAGCTATTAGCTTAATCGCACAGATATAGCAACACGAAGTGCATGGATCGACCTAATGCAGATTTAGTCTGAAGATAAACAATGTAAGAAAATTATGGTAATACATGATATAGTGAACGACTGCTGCACACTGGAACCAAAAGGTCTACAACAATGGACCTTAAGTTACAGGAGGAGTGCAGCATAAACAAATCACTGCCTAAGGGAAGTATCCAGTGGTATAAATCATAAAAAAATATAAAAAGATATTTAAATTATGCGTAATGGTGGCGTGACGTCCTGAAGCAGCCCCCGCCCTGGCCCCCGCCCTGCAGACCTGTCCAGGTCCTCCACCCTATTCTGCATCTGCTTGTTCTCTTCCAGCAGCAGCAGGTTCTTCTCCCGGGCTGCCTGCACCTGGACACCCTGCTGCTCCGCCTGCAGCGGGGGCCACACACCCCAGAAATGCACAGACAGACAGAAACAAGGAAATTAGAAAACATCACCAGGCTTCTACAGATGGGAGAGGGGCTACCTGAGACGACTCCCACAGAGGCAAGAATGAGGCAGCATAACATAAGGGATGTTTTTAAACCCAGCAATAGGGAGACATTCCGGGAACAGGGGCGGGACGTGGGGGACAGCCAGTGCACAGCGACTGCTTTCACACGGACGGGCACATGAGAGGACTTGGGGCTAATCAGACCCGGTAATCGTTCCAACAGAGCATCCGTTTTGTGCAGCACCCAGACCTGTAAGTGCTCGCCTGAAACATTTATGAGACTATTGTTGCGGTGCTATTTTTTACATTCCACATTGACCACACACTGAGCTGCATAAACATCAGACAGCTGTGCTCCCATAAACAGATAGCACACATTCAGAGACACAGTGCACACGCCCACGCCCGCCCACACACACACACACACACACACACACACACACACCTTTAGCCGCATCTCGGCCAGCGCCCCGCTCAGCTCCGTGTTCCTCCTCTCCTGCACCCTCTCACGCTCCTGCACCTCCTGCAGCTGCAGCTCCGCCCTCCTCACTGCTTCGGGTAGCGGCTCCAGCTCGGCCAGCCGGCCCTGCAGCCGCCCCCTGGCCACGGCCGCCTCCCGCTCCAGCTGCTCCCGCAGGGCTTCCGCCTGCTCCTCGGCCAGGCCCAGCTTCATGCTGTACTCCTCCGCCTCGGCGCGGGTCTTCAGCATCTGCAGGGGGTGCCGGGGAGCGCTTTACGTGCGTGGCGGAGCGTTCTGACCAAAGCGAGGGCACTTTTATGCCAGTTTATTTATTTCAGATTCACAGTTTGCATCAGTGTGTGCTTGCCATTACATACATTTTCTGTTTCTTACTTCAGTAATGTAACTAATTCAAAACACAAAATATGTTCAATGACTTGTATAATGAGATTATTTGGCTATTATGAAGAATGCAAAATAAATATTATTTACAGTGACATCTTTCTAAAAAGCTTTTCTGGTGTTAAAAGGGGATGTGTGTACCTCCGGTCTGTGTGAGAGAGAGTGCGCATTTGCACGCCTGTGTGTGCCTGCGTGTGTTTCGGCCTGCAGGGTGACACACTCCCACCTGGGTCTTGTAACTCTCCACCAGGCTCTCGTACTGCTTCAGGGATGCCTTCACCTGCTGGACCTCCGACTGAGACAGGCTCAGCTTCTCCTCCAGTGCCGCAAGCCTGGCCTAAGGGGGGCATCAAATAAACATAGTGACTAACACACTGTGCTAAATATTTCATATATATACATACACGTATACATATTCACACGCATACATACATACATACATATACAGCTACAGAAAAAATTAAGAGACGACTATATTTTTAAAACAACTCTGCATTTTTAAATCCTGGTTTAATTGTGGTTCTGCTGACAGAATGCTCAAAATTTCTAAGTACACAAGAATAAGGTGAAGTAGGAGACACTGGGAACAACCAGAAACCAGCCAGGTAAAGGATGGATGAACAGTTTCTCATGAATCGTACGATGACATCAAGCGACCTTCAAAAGGAACGGGAAACATTAAGTGCAGGTGTGAAGTGCACTGCTGGGACAGGATCGTATCAGGCTCCTAGAAGCAGGACTGAAGTCCCATAGAGGAAGGAAGAAGCCCTTCATCAATGAGAAACAGGGAAAAACCAGGCTGCAATTTTACAATAGAAAATATTATTCACAAATGCACACCCGGAAATAGAGAAATGAGTGAAACAAAAAATTGTGTTGTGGTCTCTTAATTTCTTTCACGTGTATATATACACACACACACACACACACACACACACACACACACACAGAGCACTTAAAGAGACAGTGCGGAGGAAGCTGTGGTCCAGTCCACCTTGAGGCTCTGATTCTCCAGCTGGGTGGAGGTGCAGCCAGAGGTGAGCTTGTGCAGCCGGTCCAGCAGAGCCTCCCTGTCAACCCGAGTCTTATCTTCAGCACCACGAAGTTGCTCTGTCAGCTCCGACACACGGCTGGGCGGGGGGGACGGGAGGGGATGGACACAAGCTCACTGTCATTTAATTTGCCCGTTGGGGTCAACAAGAAACGGTCCCACAACCTCAGACTGACTACAAAAACACAGACGTCGTCTCCAAAAACAGGTATCATCTTTTAAAACCTTTCCAAGCCAGAGCTGAAGACCCACACAGCAGGGCACAGTGGTGACGTCTCAGAGCAGCCCCCCCCCCAGCCAGGAAGAGGCCCCCCCAGGGCCCGGGGCCTCGCTCACCTGTTGAGGACAGCGATCTCCAACTCCAGGTGGCTCTTCTCCTTCACTAGCTGAGCATATCGGCTGCTCCTGTCCTCCGCCGTGGAAATGGTTTCAGCCAGCTGGGCCTCCTGCGAGGGGGGCGGGAGGCACGAGGGGTCACTATCCACACACATTCCTCACACAGCCCCCCCCCCCGTCAGCAAACACCATATCTGTAACCTGTTCACCACTGCTGTGGGATTGAAGTCTATGATCTCAAAAGGTGTAAACATGCACAATTAATCCCTCACTGCATATCTTCATTTATACCTGGGCTTGTGGTTTGCACTGATCTTAGAACAGTTTCTCCTTGCCACTAAAGCTGTAAGTTACCCAGTCATCTTTGCAGAATGCAAATAACTGAGAGTTTCCCTGCTGATGCTATAAAAGTAAGAATAAATACCAGCTTTAGTAACATCTGTATAGAACATTACATTTGCATTTCTTTAGCAGGCACTTTTGTCCAAAGTGACATACAAGTGAGGCAAACAGAACATTACAAGCATACATGCTGTCATACATGAGTCTATTAAGTGCAGCTAGGCTGAGCTGCCAGTGAATGGCCAGGGACAGTGTAAGCAGTAGGGCAGGGCGGAGTCCATAACACATGTGCGCACCTTCTGCAGCAGCTGGGCGCTCAGCTGGCCTGCTGCATCCTCACTGCGCTCCGCCCGCTGCTTCAGCACCCGCGTCGCCCTCTTCAGGGCCTCCTTCTCAGCCTCGGCCTTCTGTCTCAGTTCCCCGAGCTGCTCCTCCACGTTTTCCACCTCCACCCGCTGCTGTTCCGCCGCCCTCTCCAGATTCTAACCCAAATCCACAGCATAGCACGACATGACATGACACGACAGTGCTGGGCCCCGCGTTCCAAGGGCCCCGAACCCGAGGATCAGGAGTTTCGTAACGTGGACAACATGGGAAAAAAACTTATAAAAAGGGAGGGAACTGGGAGCTGGTGTGGCTTGCTGGGTGGCCGGGCCCCTCCAAGGTTGTGGGTTCGAGTCCCATCCCTGCTCCTTGTTTGCATGTTCTCCCCAAGTTTGCATGGGGTTCCTTCCATGGTCCAAAAGCGAAGGTATTAATGAATCAGTGTCTCTAAATTATGTGCTCCTTAATGGACCAGTACCTGCCCGAGTTTCCCTGCCTCATGCACGGTACTTCCCACAATGCAAAATAGCCAAAGCAGGGAAATGAGAGGGAGAGAAAGAGAGAGAAAGGCAGAAAGGGTTGCGTACCCGGATCTGAACGGCCAGCCGGTTGTTCTCAGCCTCTTTGTTGCGCAGCTGTCCCTGCAGGTGAGCCCGCGTGGACTCCAGAACTTTGGAGAGCTCGCCCGTCGTCTTCGCGTTGTCCTGGTCGGGTAACAATCATGTGATCACGTGGATGGCTGCAGAGGCACAACCGATGACCGAAGGCAGACTGGATGCCAGGCGAGCGGCACATACCTTCTCCGACTCCAGGAGGACGGTGAGCTGATCAGCCTGGCTCTCCTTCTCCTGCAGTCTCACCAGAAGATGCTAAAAAAAAAAAAAAGAACGTAAAGTTGTCCCAAGGCCAATCAGAGAACACTGGAGCAAACTCTGCTGTCATTGGCTGCCACTGAAGTGTAAGATGGCCCGGGACTGGACAGACGCACCGCATTCTGTGCCTCCACGTCCGTCAGCCTCTCCAGCAGTGCATCCTTCTGCTCCGCCAGCCTCATCACATCCATCTACCCATTCAAAAAAAAACCACACCCAGACAGCCTGTCACTGATCTGTGCAGTTTGTGACTTTCGCCCCCTGCTGGCCGGAGAGCGTACCTCACGGCCACGCTGCTCCCTCAGCAAATTGCGCAGGGTGCGGTTGGTGCTCTCGAAGGTCTCCAGCTTCTGCAGGAGAAGCTCCTTCTGCCTTGTCAGCAAGGATGCCTCTGAACTAGACATCCTCTTCTCCTGGAGGAAGAGGAGAGACAGACATCTATTTGTCCTGTGATGCCATCTCTGAGGTTGACATCCAAATTACCCATAGCAGAGAATAAATGGTGATGTATACATGCTAAATAGCAAATATAGTCTAATTAATTAAGATTAATAATCAATTGTGGTTTTAAAACAAGTCAATTGCATGAACCTGTTAGGGAAGTCGGGGGGGGGGGGCTTTTCTGTAGTGTGTGGGGATACTACACAGAGAATTTTCAAGAAATGTCCCGCTATGCTTAAGGCTTTGGTTTGGGCTACATCTGCACACAGTTTGTTTAGAGATTAATTACCCTGAGAACAGAGGCATGCTAAAATGATGGAAGTTCATTTGCTTAGAGTCTCTGCGAAGTAGAGGCTCTCTCAACTGTGAAAAGTAAAGGATAGAGCAAGCAACCGATGGGCGAAGGTTTTTGTTATTGAGCTATTCAGTTTTATTCTGAAACCATTTATTTACCTGATAGAATATCGTTTAATAACATTATTCCTAGGGTTATTAATACAGGCCTCCCTAGATTCTCTTTCCTGATCATCACTTCTGCCGTCGTCGCCTCTCAAGTCTAGACCAGCCCCGTAAACAGGCCCTCTGCAGCATGCCCCCTAAGATAGCGGACCGCCGTGTGACGTGTCCCCATTTCCTCTGGCCTGGCACAGCCCAGCCCAGCACAGCCAGGCACAGCTCAGCCCAGCCCAGCCCAGCCCAGCACAGCCAGGCACAGCTCAGCCAGGCACAGCTCAGCACAGCTCAGCCCAGGCCACTTACGCTGTGCATGCGGCCCACTGTCTCCCTCATGGCTGCCACCTGCCGGGAAGCAGCAGCGCCCTCCATCTCTGCCTCCACCAGCTTCCTCAGCAGAGCCTCCTTCTCCTGCCTAAGAGCCTCCTTCTCCAACCTGTGCATAGGGGTGAGGGTGGAGCAGGGCAGAGCGAGGGGTCACATTCTGCAGCCAAAGGGTTAGGTGTTATGGGGCACTATGGAGAAATTCCTATTAATACATTAAAACTATCTATTCATAATTTTCTTAAAATTCACCATAATCATATGGTAAAATCTTGCACAATTGAAACAGTATTGACCTTGGAGATGAATAAAGTTTAGCTAGATGTTATTCCCACCTAGGTGTCAGTAATGTTAGCTGAGTGCCTTCGGCCACCTAACTATCGCTACAGCAAGGGTACATTTTGTGCTTAATGTATCCAGTCTTTTATATTTCTATCCCACTTTGGCGTCTTCAGCCATTGTAGTGACACGCAGCTAGAGGTGCACTGATCCAATATTCAGATCAGTATCGGCACCGATCTATACCTAGTTAGACGGACAGGGAATCAGCCATATGTGACCTATCCACGGCCGATATTTATTTAATTTTTAGCAGTCTGTAAAAAGATCCATAAGTTAGGTCCATAAGTATTTGGACTTTTTTTTTTTTTTTGCTATTTTTGTAATCTTCTCTCTGTATACCATCACAATAGATTTGACTTAAACTAATTAAGATGTCATGGAAGTAAAAACTTTCATCTTTAATTTAGGGGGTTTGACAAAGGTATTAAATTAAGCTGTCAGAAATAACAATATTGGATCGGCTAATACTCAAAACCCAAATATTGGTATCAGTATTGGAACTGAAAAAGTCGGATCGGTGCATCCCTGCACGCAACCAAGTATACAACAGTGTTCATGTGTTTAGGGGGGCTGGGTGTAAATAGGCCAATAGATACCATGTGACTATTTACACCTGGCCCGGCTGGCCATGCCACCCGGGCATCCCTCATCGCCTAGTGCCCACCCGGGCATCCCTCATCGCCTAGTGCCCACCCGGGCATCCCTCATCGCCTAGTGCCCACCC